GACATGATCCCGGGGTCCTGGGATCAAGTCCCGCATGGGGCTCCTTGCTCAGCGGGGAGTCTGCTTCTCCCTCTCCCCCTGCCACTCCCGCTGCTTGTGTTCTCACTCTCTCTCTCTCTGACAAATAAATAAATAAAGTCTTTTTAAAAATAAATAAAAATAAAAGCAAAAAACATAACGAGGAAACAAAACCCAAAACACTATCCTGGCTAAACCCAATAAATTGGTCAGTTGAAGGTCTTTGTTTCTGTAACTACGCAGAGATGGCGAGTGTTGCAAAAGTTATGCAGTCCTGGGGGCACAGGTCTTGGTTCTGACATTTCCTAGTTGTAAACTTGGGATTAGATATTTGGTTAAAACCTACCTTATGAGGATTAAATAAAATCATTGATTTTTTTTTATAATTTTTTTTTTTTTTTTTTGGCAAGAGAGAGAATGAGAGAGAGCACGAGAGGGAGGAGGGTCAGAGGGAGAAGCAGACTCCCTGCCGAGCAGGGAGCCCGATGTGGGACTCGATCCCAGGACTCCAGGATCATGACCTGAGCCGAAGGCAGTCGCTTAACCAACTGAGCCACCCAGGCGCCCTAAAATCATTGATTTGAAAATACTTTATAAATTGCAATGTAACTGTTAGCTATATTCCTATATACATAACTGATGGCTAGTAAGTATGGGTCCCTGACAAGGGCTTCCACTATTTGTGGTTTCTTTCATACCAATTTGATTAAATTAGCAGCTAGGCAAGAAGGCACACCTTTTTTTTTTTTTTTAAGATTTTATTTATTTATTTGAGAGAGAGAGAACACATGAGAGGGGATAGGGTCAGAGGACGAAGCAGACTCCCTGCCGAGCAGAGAGCCCGACGCGGGACTCGATCCCGGGACTCCAGGATCATGACCTGAGCCGAAGGCAGTCGCTTAACCAACTGAGCCACCCAGGCGCCCCAAGAATTGGGCATTTTTGGATTTGAGTACTAAGGGTCCTTCTTCGTTAAACAAAAAGCAAATAAATATATGTATATCTTATATATGGAAATGGTCAGTTAAATGGCATCTTGCCACAGGTTCGTGTTAATGGGAATGTATTGAGGATCTGACTCCAGATGTTCAATTTCTTTGGGAAGCTGGGAATAAGAACTGGTTTTGGTTTTGTTTTGTTTTACCATAAAAGTTCTCATTTCATTAGGTATGGGAAATCTCATGGCTAGCCCTGTCTTTTGCTGTGAACTTTGTCCTAGTGTACTAGTACTTTTATTTTAAAAAGGTTATTTCCTACTTGAACTTGATTCTCCTCTGTTGAGCAAAAAAGCTCTCTTGTGTCTGGGAAATCTTAATAAAAGATGTTGTAATAGCACGGGAAAATCATCATACTGATGTACTCTTTACAATTTCCTTTTTCCTTTTTTTTCTCTCTTTTTTTTTCAAATTATAAGAGTTAGACTTTTTGAATCTCAGGCATTTGATTTACCAAGTCCTTTAAAAATGTTTTCTTACTTACATCTTTTGGAATAATGTTGTCTCTGCAGTCCCTGTACTTGATAATTGCCAAATAAATATTATTTTGGCTTAGGCCTGTAACATTCATCAACACTTCTCCATTTGTTGCATTAAACCCAAAATTCTTTATTTCAGTGTAATGTGGAAGGGAATGGTTGGATTTGGGGATAAGCAGGGAGGAGTGTAGGAGATAATTAAACCTTGATTCAATTCATTCTTTCCCTGAAATGCATTTAGGCAGAAAATATCATAGTTTCTTTGCTTTTGCTGAACTTCAAGGAAGCCTAGGGCACCCCCTTCACATTTCTGAGCTGGTTTCTCCAATGACATGGGTTCCTCATAGTCTTTAACAAGTCCTTTGCTGTGATTTCAGCTTGCCATGAAAGTATTCGGAAGAACACTGACATAATAATAACATTCATTTAAATTAGACACATTGCACATTCAATTAAACTTTCTTGCTGAGAAAATTTAATGACTGGTGACAAAAGAGAATTAAAACTATGCATATATTTCTGTAAATGTTTAGAATGTTAGAGAATGGCTTGACTTACTTGTTAAGTGTTTTAATTTTCTGAATTTCTCGTTATCAACCAGATATGTTACCTGAAGATTTGCTAAATTTTCACTAGAAGTAGGGTCCTCAGCATGCTAATTGTCTTGTGATATTTACACCAGATGTTTGAAAGATTATTAGGCTGCTTCAGCAACCTAACTGGCTTGTAAGAAAATAGACTTTGCTACAGTGCGGGGCATAATCGGATTTTTAGTTCATCTGAACCAGATGTTGAACACAATCGAAGATTACCATTTACTTCTTTGGAGGAATGGCGGAAAATGGAAATGAACTTGGGGGACATGCAATGGTGTAACTATCCAGCTGGGAATGTGAATCTTCTACTTAGAAAAGCCTCAGAGGCCAGCAATACCTCTTCCCACTACCTTTCTTCCACCCCACCCCCCACAACTATCCCCACACCACCCCATAAAACCTGGATATTTAAAGAATGCTTGTTACTAAGATTCACCAGCAGAGATTAGTCTTTTCACCTTTGGGTGGAATCTTTTCCCCTTTCTGATCTGAAGATCACCTGGACCTGAGTCTAGTAACCCAGATGAGCTTCTTGTAAGGATGGTTTTGCCGGGTAATGGGAGCCCTGATGCTTGCTTCTTCACTGGCTTGTCCTGAATATTTTGAGGTAACAGTCTCCATTAATTATTACCTGCAGTTCCAGTTCCGCCTGTCATTTTATCTCCACTGTCAGTCTGCTTTCCTTTGGAGGGCTAGCCAGGGCATTAGCCAGGGAAAACTGACCTAGAAGTTAACATCCCCCTCTCTGGGATATGATGGGATTTTCTTTTCTCTCCTTCCTACTTTCCATCTTTCTCACTCCCCCCCACCCCCCACCATATCCCTTGGGATTAAGACAATCTCTGGTAAAATAAAGAGCTGGAAACTTGATGATCATAATAACAGCTCAAAATTATGGAGATGGTAGTTTGTCTTGGAGATAATCCACTCTTCAGAAACAAAAAGATGTAAAGCTTTCTCGCAGAAATACACAGTGAGGACATGCCAACCCTCAGCCATGTTCTCCAAAACAATGGGCAAAACTTCAAGGTTGGAACTGAGAGACCTGGGGCCAGAGAAATAGAAAGACCGAGGACATCATGGGGCTTGAGGAGGTGAGAAGGAGAAGGGACCAGAAAGGGGATTTCTGAAGTGGATTCTGTAAGGGCTGAAGCAAACTCCATGGAAAAAGTTCTTTTTGGAACCATGGAAAAGTACCTTGAGTCATCTTCTGGGGTAGGTGTGTATTCATGATCAGGGAGTTATAAATTGGTTTCATTTCAGATCATGGACTGTACCTGTACATACTTGCTGGCATTACATGTGAAACTTTGAGATTATATACAAATACAGGAAGATTCTAGCTTTGTATGAAGCAGTACTTACTGGTAGAATCTGTGTGTTTTGTTTTGTTTTGGAATGAACATCTAGAGTCCGTGTAAAGCTATTATGAGCCCGAAATTCAATAACTTCCTTTTTTTTTTTTTTTAAGTCAGATTTGGAATCTTTGTTTTGTAGATAGTCAGGATCCATAATCAGATTATGCACTAGTTGCATTTTGTAGAAGCCATCTCCCACTGGTTTGCAAGGAGCAATTCTCCTTTTAGGAATAGTCTTTAGTAGGGGAATAAAAGTGTGACAGCTCTGCTCGAATCCAGCCCTAAACCAATGTGTCTTAAATTGTAAGTCCTGAAATAACTTTCATCAGGAATACCACCTGTGTTTGTTAAAATGCATGTTCCTGGGGCCTAAACCAAAGACCAGGAATATGAATTCTTACTGATTACTCATGCTCAGTAAATTTGAGAACCTTTATTAAGCGGCGTTAATTAGATTTACTCTGTGTTACATTCCCTCTTCCATTTCTTATCTCCCTTCCATTTGAGGAGACTCATGTGTGTCTATGAACTCTTGCATGATACAAGTGGTGATTCTCATGTTTGCTATGATATTTCTGACATCTGTTCTTGTCTCTGGTAGATAGAAGAGTTTCAGTGAGTATTTGTTGAAGTGGTCTAATTAAATCAAGAAGTAGTGATGTAGTCAGATTCACGGGAGAGTAGAGCTGTTTGCCCGAGTCATTCTGTACTAAGACAGTAAGAATTAAGTACCAAAGTCTTCCGCAAAGTTAGTGCCTAGCTGCTCCCTTTGTGTGGGGAATAGTTTACTTGAAGGGGATGCATGAGAGAGGAACATAATATGATTCCTTCTAGCGCATTAATTGTGGGGTAGCTTTCCTTTGCCCATCCTCTTATTTTTCCCGACATGATTTTGTGCTGTCCACACCTCCTTGATACAATAATAACAGAAGAGTATATTTTGTTTTGGTCTGAGTTTTGATCCAACAGGAAAGATCAGTGTTGTCTGTTTTCCCAAGGAGATGTTGTCCCAGGACACTTTTCCCAAAGGACCACAGTGCTGATTCATCCATTCTTTATTTATTTTTATTGCTTTAATTTTATTTCATTTCTACCCTCGTTAAATAAGATACATGCCATAAAGAAATATATTCCAGAGGACATGAAAAAGCAGACCTCGTGTCTGTTTACCCTGCTGGCAATGATTCTCCTCTTCAGGACCCTAACATTCCCCAGTTTAAAGCTTGCCTTCCACGACAGTTTTCTGTGCACAGATGAGCTGCTTATGGATACAGGTGTGGTGCCACCTTGAAGAGTGACAAACCTCTGATAAGAAAAAGATACTACGTTCTTTGACCATCGGTCTAGTTGGGTGTTTTTCTCTGTCCCATAGTTATCTGGGATGTCTAAAAACATGGTATTCCTCAAGTGTGTGGGTTACCTGACTGCTGATGTCTGAAGGGGAAATATTCAGGAATTGCTTCTAAAGACTCCCCTTGGTTTTGTTTCCTTCCAATACGAATGTTATAGGATATATTCAAACCCATCATCCTGAACTTGAGTTTGCTAATGGGGAGGCTGGCTGGGTTCTGGACTTTACACTGGTGACACTTAATAAACATTTATTATTTTCTTACTGAGAATCTTTACATATCTCCATCAGAGACCACAGGGGTGACAATATTATTAAAGGAAATCGGGGCTTCTTGTAAACATTCTGGAGAGGCCTCAGCCTCTTGGAAGGACTGGGATCCCCGCTCAGCTTCCAGCTGCTGAATTTTCCTTTCCTTTTCCTCTAAAACATCTTCCAGCTGGGTGATCTTCTCAGTCTGAAGGGAAACCTGCGTCGACAACTCCATAATCAGGTTAATTTTTCGATCACCTTCTTCGACAGGCGGGAGACCCCCACAGGACTCTTCCCAAGAGTTGTCTTCTAGAGCAAAGAAGAAAAAGAAAGTCTGAGCAGTTTTAATTGGATTTCCCAGAACTCAAAGAGAGGGAAGATGAAAAAGCTTTATTTCTCACGTTCTTAAAAGGGAACACAGATGTTGCGTCATCTGGTCAGATATACTGAGAATGGAATCTGGATCCGGTGAGGGGAAAGTTTCTGGGTGTTCATGAAAAAAGAACTTGGAAGCCTCCAGAGAGGGAGGAGAATCAGTCTTTGCCAACTCTTTTTTGTACACATTTAGCTTTTAATTAGCCATGGGAATGAGCCCTCCTTGAAAATCCAATCTATGAACAAGAGCCATCCCAAGTTTCACGGTATCTTTTGGCCCGAGAATCTTTCACAAGAGCGACAATCGAGTAGAGATATACTTTGAATTGAATTTTAACTCAACTAGGAAAAAAAAAAAGTTGTTATGGCCCTTTCTGGAAGATGATGAGAAAAGACTAGTTTTTTAACCCAAGTCAGCTTTACAGTTGGCAGGGGTATAATTTGAGGTGATCCGGGAAAGCTATTAGCATAGTATCTGTTATAGAGATTCTTTTTTTAAAGGTCTGAAGCTTTTTCAGCATTTCTTAATAAAAATCACTAGTATCGGGCGCCTGGGTGGCTCAGATGGTTGGGCGTCTGCCTTCGGCTCAGGTCACGATCCCAGGGTCCTGGGATCGAGTCCCGCATCGGGCTCCCTGCTCCTTGGGAGCCTGCTTCTCCCTCTGCCTCTCTCTCTCTGTCTCTTATGAATAAATAAAAAAAATCTTAAAAAAAAAAAAATCACTAGTATCTCCTGGATAGAAAAGCTTATCCTTTATAATTTCTGACCCCTCAGATAAGGATAAAAGCCTGAGTAAAGAGGGAGAGGGAGGCTCCAATAAAGAGATAAAATAGGGCGCCTGGGTGGCTCAGTCCATTAAGCGACTGCCTTCGGCTCAGGTCACGATCCTGGAGTCCCGAGATCGAGTCCCGCATCGGGCTCCCTGCTCGGCAGGGAGTCTGCTTCTCCCTCTGACCCTCCTCCCTCTCATGCTCTCTGTCTCTCATTCTCTCTCTTGCAAATAAATAAAATCTTTAAAAAAAAAATAAAAAAAAGAGATAAAATATTGGTGGCTGGCATCAGGGAAACCTTGAAAAAAAAAAAAAAATCCCAGTAGACCATCAAAAAATGTAGCTGCTGAAAGCAAACCTCATCCTACTAGACTTTAGCAGGATCACCCTCCTTTACCGCTCTCATCCTGAAATTTCCACCATTAAAATCATGTCTCTGAGTTATACAAAGGGCAGACATCAGCTATAAGTGATGTCAGTTGGCTTGGGTGTCATTGTAGGATTACTCGAGCTAATAGCATAGGAATGAAAGGTATTGACAGCCGATTACTATAATTAAAGGTCTGGCATTTACTCGGTCCTCAGTGAACACAAACCCCACAGCTGCACCTGAGGGAAACCTAACTGCCAGTCCAGGCGACGGATGCCTGCTACTATTGTGTGAAGACGGGGCAGTTTTGCTGGGATGGTCCATGCAGGCAGGGAATCTCCCACTTCTCAGCAAATAAAACTCATTTGCCGTTTTTTTTGTTTTTTGTTTTTTCCTAATTTTCCCCCAGGGATCATGGGATGAAAGCTTGAACACTGACTTGCATGGAGGGGCAGGATGCTTTGGGCCTCCGAAAAGTGATGAAAGATCAGGATGTCCTCTGCTCTTGGTAATTGTGCTTGGCGATGTCCTACATTTCAAGAATCTATGGAGAAGTTTTTGTTCTGAATATGTGAAATTTTAGCACTAATATTGAAGGAGATGGTAGTTTGTCTACCTTTCTTTGCAAGCAACGAAAAACATCTCCACATCTCAAAGGAACATGTAGTTTGTTGCTTCTGCAATAGGCCATTGATTTTAGGCCCCGGGCGAGTCAGTCCATTCGGCAGGAGGCTTTCATCATCTCTGATACACCAGGGCCTTCTCACCTTTTATCTGGCCAGAGCTGTGCTGTCCAATATGGAAGCCACTAGCCACGTGTGACATTAAGCAATTAAGTGTGGCTAGTCTGAAATGAGATGTACTGTTAAGTATAAAATACACATTTGATTTGAAGACTTAGTGTGAAAGAAACGTGAACTGTCTCATTAAATTTTAAAAATTTGGTTATGTATGAAAACAGTAAAATTTTGGATCTATTGTATAAAATAAAATACATTTTAGGACAATATTCACTCATTCATTTCTTCCTGTTTTCAAAACATGGCTCCTAGAAAATTTAAAATATCATAGGTGGCCTGCCTTGGTGGCTCTCACTTTTCTGTTGGCTGGTGCTGGGCTCGAGTTTCTGTTTGGATGAGCATTCTCTGACACCCAAGTGGATGGGTTCCTCGTAGGTGGCTCTCGTCAACATGTATTGTTGTTACTTGGGAGGGAGAATTGTTGACCCTCAACTGTTAGCACACAGATCATTTTTCTGTTACTCCCGATGGTGGAGGCATGGAAATCTGGGCTTAGGAGAGTGGGTTCTTGTGGGTTGAAGTGAGTTTCCACAGGAGAGGAAAGAAAAGACAGAAAGTGTCAACCAGACGCAGCGAGAAGATAGGAAGGAAAGGAATGGTGGGCAGGATAGGGAAGGCTGGGCCTCCGTGAGGCTCAGGGCTGGAGAAGGGCATCAGGAGCCTCCCTCCTTGTTGTGCTGGCTTGTCCTCTTTCTCTTTGACCTCTTCTTCCAACTTTTCTTTCTCCAGTTTTTCCTCTTTTTTCAGGAGGACTTATTTCCTACCAATTTACACAACTAAAAAAAGGCGTTTAGTGCCATTACAGAAGGCAAACTGGTCAAAAAAGTGTTTTTTTAATAAGGCAATATAGGTGGAATACGTTGTTCATCTAATTCTAGTGATAAAGGGGTAAAAATGCAGCAGGATGGCATTACCTAGGCAATTGCTGTTACTAGGTCTACATTTTCTGTCTCTGCCCTCCCAGAAGAGAGTAGTCGAGAGAGAGAAGGTAGAAAGAGAATGAGGGAAAGAGAGACAGGGAGTCTTGGTTAGCGCAGGCTGCCATAACACAATACCAAATATTGACTCGGGGGCTTAAACAGCAGAGATTTATTTTCTCACAATTCTGGAGGCTGATAGTTTGAGATCTGGGTGGCAGCCTAGTTGGGTTCTGATGAGAACTCTGCCTGGTTTGCAGAGGACCACCTTCCCACTGTGTCCTTACAGGGCGCAGCAGAGACCACAAGCTCTATGATGTTTTCTTCTACGAGGCACTCGTCTCAGGACCCAACCCTTATGACCTCATTGAAACTTAATCACTCCCAAAGGCACCATCTCCAAATGCTATCACACTGGGGTTAGGGCTTCAACACATGAATTACACTGAGGACACAATTCAGACAATAGCACAGGGAAAAGACAATTGGAAAAGGAGAGATAGTACAAGGACCTTGATTCTCACTGTGTTGTTTTCATGTATTAAATGAAAACGCTGATAAGGAGATAAGCTAAAGTGCATCTATATACCAGCTTTTTTAGATTCCACATATAAGTGATATCATATAATATTTGTCTTTGTCTGATGCATTTGACCAAGCAGAATGTACTTAAAAGCTGAATTGATGGAGAAAGAGTGGAGTGGTGTTTACTGAGAGGATGGGGGATGGGGAGGGAGGAATTGGAGAGGTATTGGTCAAAGTGTACAAATTTCTAGTTATAAACTTAAATTCTGAGTAATGTGTAGCGTAATGATTATAATTAATAATACTGTATTGCATACTTGAAAGTCACTGGGAGAGTAGATCTTAAATGTTCGCTCCACAAAATAGACATGGTAATTCTGTGATGGGATGGTATTCTTAGCTAACGTTGTGGTGGCAATCATTTTGCAAAATACACATGTATCCAGTGAACACATGGTGCACTTTAAACTTACACCATCTTATAGGTCAATTATATCTCAGTAAAACTGAGAAAAAAAGAAGTATATACACCAAGAAGGAAATTTCTCATACAGCTATATTTTACTATTTAATGACCTCTTCACACATACAATAAAAATATTTTTGGGGGCGCCTGGGTGGCTCAGTTGGTTAAGCGACTGCCTTCAGCTCAGGTCATGGTCCCGGAGTCCTGGGATCGAGTCCCACATCGGGCTCCCGGCTCAGCAGGGAGCCTGCTTCTCCCTCTGACCCTCTCCCCTCTCGTGCTGTTTCTTTCTCTCTCTCTCTCTCTCTCTCTCTCTCAAATAAATAAATAAATAAATAAAATCTTTAAAAATATATATATATTTTTGTTCCATTTCTAAGCACATTACAAATCACAGAAATGTTTTAAACTCTTCAACAAATTGGGGGCTCCAGGAGTCTCATATCCTACTTGTAGTGGAATTAGCCCAAGGCCACCCCAGTGATTTGTCCAGACTCTACCACTAAGCTCTGCACGATCTGATGTGCACCATTCTCCTTGAATCCAGGCTCCCTTATCTGGAAGCTCCTGACAGCTCTACCCATCCCCACATCTCAAACACTGGTGGTCCTTCCTAGATTTTCATTAGCAGCTCATAATAGTCTTGCCAAGGTCACATCTGCCTGAAGCATGGAGGGTTCTGTCATCTGATTGCATAATCTTAGGTTTAGCCCCATTCCCAGGGACCTCCAGGAGACACAGAGACAAGAGAAATTCTTCTGTCACAGGGAGGGAGCCAACCTGATTAGCCACAGTCAGGGTATGAAATCCCAATTGCTACCATAGCAGAGGTTTTTACAAGTACATGCCGTTTTTCATGATTTCCCCTCCTTCTGCTTCAACTTAAAATAGGTGTGAAGCCCAAATGAGAATGACGGCTTAGGGTCATGGCAAAGAGGAGATGACAGAAGGTGGCAGTTGTGCATGCTTAAAAAGGTTTAGAAAGAAGACAGACAACAGGAGCATTCTTTTGCTTGCAGCTGGGACCGGCTAGGCTCACTTTTCTATGTAGCCTTGAAAAGACAAAGGGCCCAGAAGAAATCGTG